GTGTGACTTGTGGGTGGCTCTCTGTAGGGTGAAGTGATCGTGCAGGAGCCAGGGAGCTGTTGTCCCATTTGTCAGCAGGACACTCTGGGTACGGAGGGTAGGGGAACCTGTATAATGCCTTTCCCTGGCCTGCATCTTTCTGCCTCACAATCTCATGCCCAGCCTGCTATGTTCCCACCTTCCCCAGGCTTGCCCGCATGGGGATCATAGTAGCTCCCTCATCCCAGGCTCTGCCTTAAAGTTCCCCACCACCACCACCACCTCAGTCATAGCCTCTTCCTCTGTCTTGGTGCTACTCCCTCACCTCCAGAGGAGGAGCCAGTCTCCTGCAGGTACCTCACAGAACTCAGAAACCTCACCAAGGGTCCCTGCCACCTGGATCAGGTAGAAGTGAGCTACTGCAGTGGACACTGCAGGTCCAGCACCAATGTCATGACTGAGGTGAGCTGGGGGCTGACACTATCTAAGGACCTGGGAAAAACCCAGAGAACATGAGGAATGTATCCATTCTCATAGAGCTGACAGACCTGGTGCTATGGAGTGTCAGAGCCCTTCTCCAAGGTCGTAGTATACACACATCCCCAGAGTATGCCTCTCAGACATACTGGGTCTCTCTTAGCCAATAAGCTGAGATGCCTACAAAGAAAGGCTTGGGGAGGGAAAGTGGCTAAGGACAGACCCATCATGCTCACTGCAGGAGAGTACCTGTGCTTTCCCTGTAATGTCTACACCTGAGCAAGCCCAGAATCAAGTTCTCTCTGCTTGCTCCCCTTGGACCTACCTTTACCCCTGACTTCCTTAGCTTCCAACCTGGAAAGTTGTAACCTGGGCCACTGGCATTCCTTTGAATGGAGACCAGATCCTGACCTCCAGCACCACACGCGTTCTTAAGTCCTCCCATTCCGCTTCCACCAAACTGGGTTAGCTAGTGCTGGAAGACAATGGTGCGTTTTCTCTGGTTCCCAGAGATGCTGCCCCTCAGTCCTGTGCTGTGGTGCTGCTGGCCCGAGTGCCCCTGCCCTCCTGGGGATACGTTCTCAAAACACGTCTGGAACTTTTTAAAGACAGTATAAAGAAAGAAAGAAGGAACAGTTAGTTAAGAGATGATAATCTTTGCCATTTGAACTTGATACTGTAAGAATGTCTGAAAGAGTTATTAGCTATACAAAGATTACAGGTAAAACTCAATCACTATTGAGTTGGGGAGGAGGGTCTGCTCTGGAAGGGCAGCCCACTGTGCTTAGGATCCCAACTGTGCAGTTAGGTTTTGTTAGCAGTTTCATGCTGACTAGCCCGTTTCCATCTAGACGCCCTTAGGGTGGAAACCACAGCCTTCCGCTGACGCATCCATTCAGTGGGTGTTCAGATGTGCTGGGGCTGGAGTGAAAAAAAAATGGGCTTCTTGAGGAAGGGAGTTTAGGAGGCCAAGCTACCTTAAGAGTCCAGGACTGATGGAAGGGAAAGGCCAGGGGAAGGGAGGAAAACTCCATTTGATTCTCTACACTAATCAGTCTTTCTTGCCCAGGAACCCTACCTGCAGAGCCAGTGTGACTGCTGTAGCTACAGACTGGATCCAGACAGCCCCGTTCGGATCCTGAACCTCCTTTGCCCCGATGGCCACACAGAGCCAGTGGTGTTGCCAATGATCCACAGCTGCCAGTGCAGTGCCTGTCAGGGTAGGTCTGGCCTGAGAGGAAAGGGCAGGGCTGCTGGTGGGCAGGGCTCCACGGGACCAGCAGAGGCTAGGTCGGAGTACTCCTTAAGGAGCATGCACAGCACACGGTCCCATTCTTCCTTGGGTTTTGCCAGTCCACTCTTTCCTTTCCCCTCCTCAACATTCTGTGTATTTCCTTTCCAATTACACATAAACTTGGTTCAAATCTCAGTCTTCCACTGAGGTCAGTACCCATAATGCCATCCCTTAAATGGGCTGATATCTACGCGGGCTTGCAGGGAGGACTCTGGGAAGGGCATGCATGTACCTGGCAGGTTAAGTTACATATTTGATGTGTACTAACTGAAGTCGCACCATATTGCCAAGTGTGGGAAGATGCAGAGGAAGCATAATGACACCATCTAGGTGGGGGCTAGAGCTGGCTGCACCTCCTTCAGGCGGCTCAATCTCATCCTCCACTGCCCTGCCCTGCCCCATCTTGTCTCACTTGACCGTGCTGCCTCTCACTGGCCCATCTCAAAATTCTGTCTGCAGGTGGTGATTTCTCGAAGCACTGACAGGCTCCGCTGGACACAGTCACTGCTGTCTCTCTTGTGACCGTAGGGCTTGGTGGCACTCCCCACTTCCTTCAGTGTCCAGTTACCCGCCTCTGACCTGTGAACCATGCTCTGGCATTAATGCATTCTGAATAAAGTAATGCTGGCAACTAGTGCTGACAAACTATTGTGTGATCTCTGTTCCTGGTGCTAACAGGGGGCTGGAGGGAGAGTTCAGCCTGGACCTGAGTAGCAGGTCTGATGGGCCCACCGCACGTTCATCCTGGTGCTCTCCTCTGTGGCTTGAATAAGTCACTTTCCGTCTCTGCCCCAGTTTTTTCAACTCTAGTAGGACAGGGTTGACTCTAAAGTCTGAAGGGCTCCTGTGTTAGACATGAATGTCCCTGGTCATATCCCTCAACCCAGTGTGATTCCATCACAACACAGAATCCTGGAACAATCACTGAACTGTAATTTATATGGAAAGAAGCGCTCTCTCTCTCTCTCTCTCTCTCTCTCTCTCTCTCTCTCTCCACAAGTGTGTGGTTTTCAAGACATGGTCTCTATGGTCTCCCTGTGTAACCCTGGCTGGCCTGAAACTCAACTACATAAACCAGGATGGCCTTAAACTCAACAGAAATAAATCTACCTCCTCTGCCTCCTGAGTACTTGGATTCCTGGTGTGAGGTGCCATCCCCAGCCTGAAATTCTTGCAATTTAACTTTAAACTTTAATGACTTTAGAAGGAAGTCATTAGAGTTACATAAACGTCACCTCCATCCAGGTTTAGAACCTTTCCACTGTTTCCTGCCCCGCCCACTGACAGTCAACCTCTCCTACTTCATCTCAACAGAATTGTCCTTTCTGCACATTTCACGTAAAAGCCTGGCCTCTTTCAGTTAACCTGATGATTCCGAGGTTCACTGACCTTATAACATGCAAACGTGGTCCATTCCCTTTTACTGCTGATTAGTACCCATTGCATGGGTCACCTGTGAATGCCTATGATCGGCTCGCTGATAGACATTTCTTTACGGCTTGCCTAGCTATTCGCCAGTTGGTAGACGTTCCTGTTGCTGCAGCTTTTTCTATTTTGCATAAAGTTATTATGAACATTTTTGCACAAATCTTTGTGTGGGCTTTTATATATCCACAGCACCTATAGAGTGGACAGTCCTCACTTAAAACCCCAGCACTGGAAGTACAGAGACAGTACATATATTATTGGCCAGTCAGGCTTGCAGAAAAGCCAGCTCCAGGTTCAGTGAGAGACCCTGTTTAGTTAGTGTTTTCCTGCTGTGAACACACACTATGACCAAGGCTACTCTTATAAGCACAACATTTAAATGGGGCTGGCTTACAAGTTCAGAGTTTCAGTCCACTATCATCAAGGTGAAAGCTTGGCAGCATCCAGGCAGGCATGGTGCAGGAGGAGCTGAGAGTTCTACATCTTCATCTGAAGGCCGCTAGGAGAAGACTGGCCCCTAAATGTTTAGGAGGAGGGCCTCATTGCCTACCCCCAGAGTGACACACTTCCTCCAACAAGGCTAAACTTACTCCAACAAGGCCACATCTCCTAATAGTGCCACTCCCTGGATCAAGCATATTCAAACCACCACAGACTCTGTCTCAAAACCCAAAGTATAAGCTATATAAAGTCAGCCTATAAAGAGATACACCTGCACATATGTGTCACACACACACACACACACATACACACACACGAAACCCAGCTCGATGGTCCAGCCTCTTATCAACAGCACTTAGGTTCAGTGAGAGACCCTGTCTCTTTCAAAATTCAAAGTATAAGGTCTGTAGAATGATGTATCATTTATCCTTTAGGGAGCCGTGTAAGGACTAATTTGGAATTTTGGTTTCTTTTTAAAAACACAGAAATATTGTAAGATTGTGTTTTTATTTTAATCCCAGCTGTGGGGATAAGGGGCTGTCCCAGACTGTCCACAGAGGCTGGGATTTGCCTCGGGCTCCTACAGAGCCATGTTTTTGTCAGCTGCAGATAGTTTCTGCGATTGTGTGACTTTTAGAATTCTGGAAACATTTCAGAGGATATAGAAATACTAGAGCCCTGATAGGTTGGTTGGTGGTCTTTGGGGCATGTGTGTGTGTGTGTGTGTGTTTGTTGTGGTTTGTTAGTAGTTGTGCTTAAAGAAAAAACAAGAAGAAAGAAATTAGATTCAAGTATCTCTATCTCTGCCCCTTATTCTTTCTCACGTATCTAGTGTTGGGGGTGAAACTGAGGGGATAAGAAGAACCCACAAAGTAGCAAAGACCAGCTACAGAGGCACCTGAACAGATGTGTATTTCCACTACCCTCTCCCCACAACACCAACCAGCATGATGGCCCAGCCTGTAATCAACAGCACTCAAGGGGCTAGGCAGGAGAAAAACGGATTCGAGGCCAGCCTGGGCTAACAGGTGACATACCGTATTGTTTTGTTTGTAAGAAACAAAGAAAGATATGTACGGAAAGAGCATTGATCTTCTTGATTAACCTTATTGACCTGCTGACCTGTGTGCTGACTAGAGTGGGCACAAGTCACTAACAGAACTCTCCAGGATGGACTACATTTCCCGTGAGCCTCTCTGCCTCTGCGAAGCGGCAGCTGTAAAAGGCTGTGCTAGAACGACACTAGTCCAGCTCACCACTATCAGAGCCAGAGACTGCGCTACTGCCTCCCGCTGTAGGAGAGATTAGTCTGCTGACGCGTGTCTCCTTGCTCGGGCGGCTCAGCTCCGGGAGCTCAAGTCTGGAGTGGGCCGCAGTGGACTCGGAATAGACCCGGAGGGAGGGGGTCTGCACGGCCACCAGAGCCAGGCCATGGAGCTCGGGGAGTCGGGGAAGGTAGGACGGGAAAGGCACCGGGCCACTCTTCCCTTCTGTCGTGCATCCCGGTCTGGGCTGACGGATGAGCTAGTCTTGCAGGTGCTCACTCACCTGCCTGGTCTGGGAGGAACTTACTCCTCCAGGTCTGAGCATCCCACCCCACTTTCCTCCCTCGAGTCATCCACCCACTGCTTGTGGCTGCTCTGCTGGTGGTCCTTGGGTGGGGGCTGGCCAAGCACAGTGATGCCAAAGTACTTCTGGTTTCCCTTTCTCGGTTGTTTGTTTGTTTTGTTTTGTTTGGGCGTTTTGAAGAAGCCTTGGTTATAAGTCATAGAGGCTGGAGATAGGACGCCAGTGGGTGCCAAAGGGTGGGCAACTGAGAAATGAAGTAATTGTCTGGTGCTGCTTAGTTCCTCCTTCCCAGGGTAGGACGGAGGAGGGAAAAAGGCTTCTGGCGTTTTCTTGCATACTTCTGTTTCTAGCTTATCAACTTCATGAAGAATGTGGACATGGTTTAGAAACACACTCCACGAACTTGCTTCAAGGCTTTGGGCAAGAAGAGGCTTTGAGATGGGAGATGAGGTAGGGTAGAAAGTGGGCCGGAGCAGAGGGGCGAGCCTTGCTTAACAGTCGCTAGCTTGTAGGCACACTGGCAGAGAGAGGACAGCCTCTTCCGATTAAGGTCTTTGACAGTGTTTTTTGTAGCTAGTTCTTTTGTATAGAGCTTGGAATGCTGAGGCTCAGACTCTGGGCCTTGGAATAGACAAGGGCTCTAGCCACTGAGCTACATCCTCAGCTTTGCAGCCTTTTTTGAGGTTTTATTTTGGAGGGAGTGGGTCATGGAAGGAATTTTCTCAACAAACTTTTTGAAGAGCTATGAGACCTTTTCTCAGCCCTTTTGTCCCTCTCCACCCCCTCAGTGTCCATTTAATAACCATTTGTACTATGAGATTTGCACTGAATAAGATGTTGGAAGTACAAGAACACATAGGAAGGCACCTTATTCTCCAGAGAACTCTCTGTAGTCCCCACAGGAGTGACGTGGATGAGCCTGGGAAGGTTGGCCTACAAAAGAGGAAAGTCTGGTGCTGTGATTTTATCTGGAAAGGTTTCTGCAGTAGACAAGCAGTTGTTTTTGTTCTTTTGTTTTGTTTAAGCGTCTGTCCCACCCTCCCTTCCCTCTGGTCCACTAGCTACAGAGATTTTTCAGATCTGGCAGTCTATAGAATATCTGGGTGAAGGCTAGCTCAGTGGGCTCCCTAAGGAATGAAAGTTGTTTGGCCAGTCTGTATTAACACACCAGCAAACACACTATGAGACATATCCATTGCTCTTGGGTAACGTCTTCAGATTGGCTTAGATTGAACCTGAATTCAGATGAGGAAATGGGGCAGGGAGCCCTTAAATTGGTGATTTAAGGTTGATTTCCAAGCTCTTCTGCTCAGCAGTAGTCTTCCTTAACTTTTAATAAGAGAGGAATATGTTGGAGGAATCAAAGGAATTTGATTTTTTTTTTTCAGGTCCAACCACTAATTGAAAAATCTCAAATCTCAGGAATTTCTCAATTTTAGTCTGAGCCTGGCTTGAGCGGCACAAACCTCAAAGCCCACTCCTTCCCGCCCCCCCAGTGACACACTTCCTCTAACAAGGCCACACCTACCCTGACAAGGCCACACCTTCTAAAAGTGCCGCTTCCTGTGAGCCTATGGGGGCCATTTTCATTCAGACCTTGAGAGAAAGGAACATTGTGAAAGCAACTGGTAGTAAAGATACATTCATTACAAACCAGTAAAACGAAAAAGGCCTGGGTAGAATGTGACCTCGGGCTGCTGAGATAGGTAGAGGGATGGGAGGAGGAAGGACGCCTGTGGGGTAAGGTAGCGGGAAGAGGGCTGAGCTTTACGTCAGAGGGTTTTGGTGGCTGAATAGAGGAGCCTGCTAAGATAGAATATTCAGACACACTTTGCATCCTACATAGGTAAGAGATTTCTCTTATTCAAGCAGATTGGAGGTTTTATACTACAGAAGCAGAAGGTGTTTGTCATAATGTAGCTTAAAAGGGGTGCCAGGTATTTGTGGATCACTTTGGCCGGCAAGACACTTTGTTCCATATTCAGGGTCCGCCTGGTCGTGCTGCTGAGGGGTTAGAACCTTAGCCTTCATTGTGACACCTTCTCAATCCCCAGGAGCCACAAGACAAGGAAGCCCTGTGTCCCTGGTCACAAGAGTTGAGTTTTTCGTTGGCTGGTTGGTTTGTTTTGAGAGCTAGGGTCTCACTATGTATACAGGCTGACCTTGATCTCATCCTGCTGCAGTCTCCCCGCTGCTGGGCAGTGTAGTATACAGTATCTTCTGGTCACAGCCTGTTTTTTAAAACTTGCACCAGTAGGAATAGACTGCATCCTGGTGTGTAGCATTCATCCTGGGATCTACCTTCCATGTGATCAGATTCTCTCCTCCACTCCTCCACACTAATCCCCTAGGCTGTCTTTTGCTTGTGCTTCATTCCTGTGGCGGCTTCTTTGCAGTAGCCTTTGGAAGACTCAATGTTCAAAGGCACACATGTGTAAATGATTGTTTTCCAGTATCATTTCATACTCTGTATTATCATGCTATGTGCATGTATGTGGGTAAGTCAGAGAACAGCTGGCAGGAGTCAGTACTCTTCCACTGTGTGGCTTCTAGAGACCTAACTCAGGTTTTGCTGCAGGTGTCTTTATCTGCTGAGCCATTTTGCTGGCCCCTATGATGGCTTTTTAAAACTGTTTAGTTTTTACATATTTGTAGACAAAACTTTGGTAAGTCATATACCAAATAGTAGTAATTCTACTTCAATGATGAGAATGATATAAAACATTTTTTTTCCCTGGGGCTTGGAGAGATGGTTTTGCAGTTAAGGTCATTTGTTGCTCCTGAAGAGGATTCAGGTTCAGTTCCCGGCACCTATATGGTAGATCACAACCATCTGTAACTCCAGTTTGGGGGATCTGACACCCTCTTCTGACGTTCTCAGGGACTAGGCATACATGTGGTACACGTACATGCATACATGCAGGCAAAATACTCAGACATACAAATATTGTAAACAAAAATTTATTTTTTTAAAATGAGGAGCAGTTGAGAAAGACACCTGACATTGATTTCTGGTCTACAAGTTCACACATATGTGCACGTGCACACACACACACACACACACACACACACACACACACAATGTAAAAATAGAGATTTCCTAGGTGAGCCTCATAAAGAAGGCTCTGATTGAGTTCAGTGGTTGAGACTTTCTGGTGTTTTTCCACTGTGATTTGCACTCAGACAGCAAGAGAGATTGGTTGCAGGTTGTGTGTGTGTATCGATAATGCTTCCTACCCTGCCCCACACGTTGGTAAATCCAGTAGGAGCTCTGACTGCTGTGTGGAAGATTCGTCTCATAGGAACTTGACACTTAGCAAGGTTTTTTTTCTTTTTAGGTTCCTGTGACCCTTGATGACCTTACCCTGTACCTGCTTCAGGAAGAATGGATGCCACTGGGTAAGCCACAGAAGGACTTCTCTACTTCTGACAAGCTGACAGCACCTCTAGGTATGAATTCTGGCGTCTCTACTACCACTGCCTGTCTAGGTCAATGTCTCATCTGGGCCAGGACATCCTGGAGAAGTTTTTGCAATTCTCTGGCTTTTCTGGGTAACTTTGCCATCTGTTCCAGCCCAGTCCTTTCCTTCTCTTTAAATTGGCTGGGACAAATAGGGAATACCTGGCTACCTAGTGTTTTGAGCTGTTTCCCTGTGCAGGGTAGGAAACAGCCTGTGGATCTGTGGAGCCCCCAGGACCCTGGAGGGAGTCCACAGTGGTGCCCAGAGCATTGGTTTTGCAAACCTCATCTCTCTCCAGCTCCACACATTGATACTCAAGTGCTTTCGACCTCTGAGGCCTTGATTTTCTTCTTAAGACCATTTAATTAGATTAGATGAACCCAGAAACTTTGTACAAATGTAGGTATCTTTCATCTCTTCTGTTTTAATTTTTAAATACGCTCTTATCTGCTTTTGTGCCAAGGACAGAAGTAATTATGTTCAAAATGTCTGTGCGTGTTCTATTCTAGATTGAGTATCCATAATCCAAAAATCTACAGTCTGAAATACTCCAAACTCTGAAACTTGTACTCACAGGGTTTTGATGTTTGGAGCATCTTACATTAGGGTACTCTACTAGTAAAATGCAACTACTTTCAACGATGAAAATTTCCAAAATCTAATCGTCTCATATAGCTCAGGCTGGCCTCAGATTCCTTATATGACCAAGAATGACCGTGACTTTTCTGATCTTCCTGCATCTACCTCCTCAAGTACTGGGATTGAACTCAGAGCCCTATCCGTTCTAGGCAAGCACTCTATCAGCCGAGCTACAGCCCTGGTCCCCACGGCCCTGAGCCTTTTGCACGAGGGTAATTACCGTGTGTTTGTTGAATGCAGCTTAGTGACTGGTGCCCGTGCCTTTCTCATTCCACGGAGGGTAGATGAAGGTGTGGGAGCTGTGACCTCAGTGTTGTGTGGGTGGTGGGATTGTAGCTAGTCTGGGTCCTGTCTCCATGCCTGCTAAATGCAGATGAAAACCAACACGTCCCTGAAGCTTCAAGTTGAGCTCACAGGCCAGCTCTGGCTCACAGTGGGAGTTCTGTTCCACTTTTTCGGCTTTCACTATTTTAGTTTGGATTCTTTAATGTGTTTAAGTTGCCAACGTTGAGTCACTGGAAGTTTTCATGTACATATCCAGCGCTGGCGTCTCGTGGCACATGGGACTATGTGCCAGTGCTGGGTCTGTGTCCCTTTTATTTATTATATGTGCATGTATGTAGATACACCACGGTGCCCACAGAGGGCAGAGGAGGGCGTCAGATCGCCTGGAACTGGGGTTATAGATGGTTGTAAACTGCCATGTGCGTGCTAGGAGCTGGATCAGGGTCCTTTGACTCAGCCAGAGATCTTAACTACCGAGCCATCTCTCCTGTGAACTGATGACTTGATGTCATTTTAGCTTTGCCTGTGCCCCTCCTTGGTTCTGCCTGCTCCCCGTTCTCTTAGGGGTCTCACAGCAGAGTTTCTAAACTACTAAGCCAGACCACTTGGTTCTCACTTTCTTAAACCTCCCTGAGCCTCACAACACTGATGACGTCCCAGGCAGGACCCCTCCCTCTCTGTTAGGACTTGGAGCTAAGCCCTCATGGCTTTTCTCTGTTTCCTACTCAGGACCAACTGCTGCCAATCCTGAGCTATTCTGTGGTTTGGGACAAACGACCAAGCCATGGCTAGGCAGCATCCAGGGCCAGAGGAATCTTTTGAACCATCATCCTGGTAAGTGTGGTGTGTGCATAGAGGCCGCAGGTACTACTAACAAGGAGCAGGGTGGGAACAGTAAAGGCCAAGCTCCCATCTGCCTGTTCTCCACCAAGCACAGGAGGAACACCGTCCTTCCCACAGACGTTACCTTGTCTGAATACTACCCTTGCCTCCCCTTGTACTCTGCCCTCTCAGCTCCTTTCGGTGATGTTTGCCCTTCAGCGTATGTTTGCTTATACTGGAAATTCTAAGGACGTGTGACTGTCTCACCTCCTGCTTTAGTTTTCAGTGCCCATAACTGTGTCTGGCACACAGTAGTAGTGAAATTGTCACTAAGTGGATGAAGAAATGAACGAGGAGCTGTTTGCTAAGTCCCATCTGTATTTTAGGAGATGACAGAGTTAATGCAGTTCCTCTTGTGAGAACACAGGGAGTAGGGCCCATGTCCTGTGTTAGTCAGATCCACAGAGTTTGTTCTCTCTTGTGGTTTCCTCAGAAAGACCACAGGCATCTTTGGAGTACCGTGATTGCAAAGAAACACAGAGGCACATTTGTCTCCCCTGTGCAGCTCTTCGTTTTGGTCGTAACGGCTATAAATAGCTTTGTGTTCAGTTTTGTAGACTGAACAAAAATACTGAGCCCTTGGCCACTGACCACTGAAATTTAGGTTGGTGCCTAAGTGGCGTCAAGAAGTTATAATTGTCTATTTTATTTCCTGTATAGAATGAAAGTTCCAGTTTAGTTTGAAGAAGAAAAGTCTTCCTGAGGGCGTGAGAGTTTTGAACTTTGAAAGGTCAAGGTGTAATAAGGGAGCTGAGCCCTGGACATCATCTGCATCACCAGTTAGAACCCCATTTATTTGCAGTGTGTACCCACTTTTATCCACGATTTCTCTCCACAGTTTCAGATAACTGTCAACCTCGGTTAATATAATACAGTAAGGTATTTTGAAGAACAGAGACCATTTTTCCATAATTTTAATTGCAATGTTATTACATTCTGTTTTGTTATTGTTCTTTGCTTACTATGTCTAATTTATAAATGAAATGTTATCACTTTTATGTATAGTTGGGGAAAATACAGTATATACAGAGTCTGGGACCCTCTATGACCCAGGCATCTGCCAGGGTCCTGGAACACAGTCCCTGAAGACAAGGGGGACTATGGTACTCGGAGGGGGGCATTGTAGTTTATCAAATGCTATCCATCCTGGTGTTGTACATATGCCCTCAGGATAGGTGGCTGTCTTGCCTTACAGTACCTGAGCAGAATGCTGGGGCCTCTCTGTCAAGCCCACCCCAGAGAGAAGTTCCTACAGGTTGACAGTGCCGTCTGGTTCTGTGATTTCTCTAAACCCTGTGTTTCCATGGCCTCGGAGTTTTATCCTGCATAAGCCGTGAACCTAGGACAGGGCTACTATCTGAGGTAGCTTTGATCAAGGTGCAGTGATGGCTATTTGATCCAATGTGTCTACCCTTTAATTTTTTTTTTTTTTGAAAGAAAACATTTTCTTAGAGCACACCTGTTTGATTTCTTTCTGGGTTAGGCAAGAAGTATATGAGGCGTCTGAGACAAGCAAAAGTCAAGACTTCAATTATATTATAGTATAATATTATGTTATAATATTCTTTAGAGTAAGTAGAGAGGAAGTGGTGTTATTTTAGACTGTCCTTCTACCTTCTGTATACTTGATGGCTCTCAGACCATAGGATTTCTAATTTCATGTTTTGCTTTCCTCAAAAGGAAAAACTCATGTGAACCCTATGGAAGAGATGGACATGCAGGGTTCCACCAGGGAGAAAGGACAGTACCGGCCACCTCAAAAGAAAGCTTGCCATGCTCACTTAAGTACAGAGAACAGCTCAGCTGCGGAAGACTGGACAGGAGGAGACAAGAAACCCCCAAAGCCCCGCTCTATCCAGAAGTCATGGTTTACAAAGTTTCCATGGTTGATCATGAATGAGGAACAGACAGCTCTGTTTTGTGCTGTCTGTCGTGAATACCCATCTGTCAGGGACAGAAGGTCACGACTAGTAGAAGGCTACACGGGACCATTCAAGATGGAAACTCTCAAATACCACGCCAAGAGCAAGGCCCACATATTCTGTGTCAATGCCCTGGCCACCAAGGACCCCGTCTGGGCAGCCCACCTTCAGAGTCTCGGGGACAGTCCTGGAGATATCTTGGCCAGCCCTGAACACCTCCTCACTGCAGATGACCCCACATTCTACCTGCCAGGGCCTCTGGGAGACTTTGGTGGCCTAGATGAGCTCCTGTCTAGCCCAAGAGCTGAACCAGAGGACCCTTCAGGGAGTAGAGCCACCCCTGCGTTGTATTTAGACTGCGAGTCAGGTCTGAGGCAAAAAGAAATCGGCAGTGACATCCTCAGTCCCTCAAATAGCAGCACGTTACTTAAGGACGGTATTGATCTCTGCAGCCAGGTAACATGTTTATTGATTGTTGTGCCGTAGAGAGGGCTCCATACTGCAAGTGACAGAAAATGAAAGATGATGATGGAAAAAAGAATGGTAGCAGTACTCAGCACTGACATCCTGGGGTCACCAGAGCACACGTGCTTTTTATATTTTTTTGATCTTTGATTTATTTTTATCTTATGCACGTGAGTGTCTGCCTACATGTGTTTGTGCACCACATGTGTGCAGTACCCGTGGAAGCCAGAAGAGGGCACCAGATGCCCTGGAACTGGAGTCATAGACATTAGAAGCTGCCATGTGTGTGCTAGGAACTGAACCAGGGTCCTCTGGAGGAGCAGCAAGTGCTCTTACCCAGTGAGTGTGTCTCTAGCCTCGGCTCACATTACTTTAATGCACTAGATGTTGCTTTAAATGCTTTACAAGTATTAAGTCATTTACTTGGGACAGCTGCTGGATTATCTTCTGTTTTACAGACAGAAAAGCCCAATCCTAATTTCTCATAGAAGGAACAGTGATCTTTATTGAAGAACTCAAGAAACAGTCCACTATCACAAACCAAGCATAGGCCATGCTGTGATAGTCCGTATCTTTAACTTTTCTCTCCTCTCCTC